GTCAACATTTTTAAAGCAATTTTTGACCCCCTTTCCCCCCCCCCGCAATAACTTTCAACCTTTCAAAAACCCCCCCCCCCCAACCTTTTTAATAATTATGAAAACATTTTTATAACCCCCTCTCCCCCCCAAAAATGAATTATAATATACCTAAAAATATACATACATTTTATTTTGTGCTGATCTATTTTAATAACACAAAATTTTAGGAAAAAAAATTTTATTGCTTCTTTAACTTGTTAATTAGCAAGTTAAAATTTGTGTACACTTAAATTTTATAACGCAGAATCAATGAAAAGGTTATTAAAAACGAAACATCACTGTTTGTGCAAGCATAATAAATATGATTATTGGGTAAAGTAGCTGATTTATCATTTTCATCTTGCAGAATTGATGTACCAGACAAGGCAACATCATTCTAATCTAACCATTCTCGGAGCAATAAGTGCCATAAGCTCTCTCTGTCTCCTGGCAGCTACTTGCATTAGTCGCATCCTTTTTTTTGTTGAGGAGCATGGGGTGATTTCTAATGCATTGTCGGTGCCGTTCAACCTGCTATTTCAACATGACTTGTGATGTAAAATAGATGTTACAGATTTTGCAAATCCGCTCAAGTAGCGATGTTATTATTGTTACTCACTTTAATTTTCCAAATTCTCAAAATATCATATTCCTACTCTATCAGTAAGTTTATCTTGACTGCACATGACACTTGAACCTTGTCATTGTTCCATACCTGCAACACAATCGCAAACATACCGCCCTAGTCATTTGCGACAAACAGAATCTACAGGCGAAGAGAGGCCCACTTTTGACTTCTTTGCACTAACAAAGTGTGCTATCATTCTGACCAGCCATATGAAGTGTACAGACAGACACACATAAAATAAATTCTTTTATTTTTTTAAAAGCCTAAACATTTTATAACTATTTTAATTTTCACTCATTAAATTTGTTAAAATAAAGAAATAGCAGTCAATTTTTAAAATTACAATTTGAATAGAGATAACATGATTGTTGACGTCATCTAATCTAGACACCCCCTCCGCCCACTGCCCTTGTCAACAATTGTCCAACATTTCCAACCCCCTCCTCCCCTGCCCTTGTCAACAATTGTCCAACATTTCCAACCCCCCCCCCCCCCCCCCCCCCTTTTTTTTTTTTTATAGAGATAACATGATTGTTGACGTCATCCAATCTAGACACCCCCTCCCCCCACTGCCCTTGTCAACAATTGTCCAACATTTCCAACCCCCTCCCCCCCCGCCCCTGTCAACAATTGTCCAACATTTCCAACCCCCCCCCCCTCCACACTACTTTTTTTTGTTGAAATAATTAATAGACTACCCTTAATAAGGAGAAATTAATAATTTTTAATACATTTTTTTCTCCAATTTATTGGCTAATATTGGGAGTTCAACATTTAGTCTTGAGGAGTTAAATTAATGCGCTTAAAAATCTCCACACCAAACATTTTTAATTCCTAGTGTACTACGTCACTGGGTTTTGAAGTACACACAATACACACATAATCAGAAGCAAATGTGTTGAAAAGATCAGAAATGGTGAACATACTGTTACTCGCTCGGCTACAATCCGCAGCATTGTCAGCACGGCATATTTTCACGACCGCCATCCGTTCTAACAAGTTCGTATGCGGCGCAAACAAGTGTCTCGGATCATTACAAGGTGCACAACGCAATGGTAAGTGTTTACACATCAATAACTAATTAAAAATAAGCATTGACCTGCAAAAGAGCACGCAGATAGGCATGACATTACGCACGTGCGTGATTGCAAGGCAAATAGCCTCTGTTAACGGAGACCAAGATTTTACACTTATTTATAACTTTAAAGTAGCTATATTGAGCATATGTTTAACTCTGCTGCTTGATGATCTCTGCTGATTGATGGTCTGTGCTGTTTGATGGTCTCTGCTGATTGATGGTCTCTGCTGATTGATGGTCTCTGCTGTTGGATGGTCTGTGCTGTTTGATGGTCTCTGCTGATTGATGGTCTCTGCTGATTGATGGTCTCTGCTGTTGGATGGTCTGTGCTGCTTGATGGTCTCTGGTGCTTGATGGTCTCTGCTGTTTGGAGGTCTGTGCTGGTTGATGGTCTCAGGTGCTTGATGGTCTCTGTTGCTTGATGGTCTCGTTGCTTAATGGTCTCTGCTGTTTGGAGGTCTGTGCTGGTTGATGGTCTCTGCTGCTTGATGATCTCTGTTGCTTGATGGTCTGTGCTGCTTGATGATCTCTGCTGGTTGATGGTCTCTGCTGCTTGATGGTCTCAGCTGCTTGATGTCCTCTACTGCTTGATGGTCTGTGCTGTTTGATGACCTCTGCTGCTTGATGGTCTGTGCTGCTTGATGATCTCTGCTGGTTGATGGTCTCTGCTGCTTGATGGTCTCAGCTGCTTGATGTCCTCTACTGCTTGATGGTCTGTGCTGTTTTATGACCTCTGCTGCTTGATGGTGTGTGCTGCTTGATGTCCTCTGCAGCTTGATGGGCTCTGCTGGTTGATGGCAACAGCTGCTTGATGGTATCTGCTGGTTGATGGTCTGTGCTGCTTGATGGTCTCTGCTGATTGATGGTCTCTGCTGATTGATGGTCTCTGCTGGTTGATGGCCACTGCTGCTTGATGGTCTCTGCTTTAATGCCATGCAGATATAATTTGGTACTTTAAAGCCCTCTACAAACATTCACCATAAAATCTCTATATTCAATCAGCAACATATTAAATCACAAGACTTAAAACCCAGAAACCTTAATGCAGCAAAGAGTTTCCCTTTTATTACATTTTTACAAACATGAATAATATAAGGGAATGATAATTGTTAATTTGTCTCCTTATAGTTTCTTAAGGCTGTGTTATTTCATGGAGTGATCCAGAGGTGTCATTTCATTTTTTTTTTTTTTTTTTTTTTTGGGTGGGGGGGGGGTGGAGAAATTTGTTGGCTTGTTAAGTTGTTTATTACTGAAGGTGCCACAGTACATAGCAAATTAAATAAAATCTACAAATTCAAGGGGGGTGGGACTAATGCCCCACCATGCCCTACCCAAAAAACGCCCATGGAGTGGTCAATAGAGATATGTTAATTTTTGTTGTAAGCCTATTCTCTTCAGTTGGACGATCGTTCAAGTTAGTGTTGTATTGATTTCAGAGGAAAATGTGGAGACCCCTCAGCTAAGACGCTCTCAGGCTCAAAGTATTTGGAGCATCTTAGATCTCACGAGCCCCACATTGGGTCAGCTGGACAAAAGTATCCAGGCTCATGTCCGTTACAAGATCCTACCACCAGATTCAAATGGACAGGTCAGAAAATGCAACTATGTAAAGCAAAGAACTCTTTTGGTTTTATTTTAAATAGAAAATAAAGGCCAGATAATTGATTGACTCACTTACTCCTAGGTATCTGAATCAACATCTGTTTACATTAACTCACTGACTCCTAGGTATCTGAAACAACATCTGTTTACATTGACTCACTGACACCTAGGTATCTGAAACATCTATTTACATTGACTCCTTAACTCGTACATATCTGAATCAACATCTGTTTACAACAACTCATTAACTCCTAGGTATCTGATACAACATCGGCTTACATTGACTCCTAGGCATCTGAAACAAATTCTGTTTATATTGACTCCTAGGTACTCGAAACAATATCTGTTTACATTGACTCATTGACTTCTAGGTATCTGAATCAACATCTGTTTGGCCTTCTCATCCCAAGATCCACCAGAGAGTGACACTCCTGAATGGTTTACTTGGCTGTGGCCGTCCTTGTCTCCTGTCTTATATCAAGCATAGACTTGGACCAGCTTCACTGAACTATGTCGGGCTCAACATCGTACCCTCCCGCACCTATGTAGACTTGCCTGTAAGTTTCAAACGTCTCATAAGACTTTTCATTCTTTTTATTTCGATTTATGCAATGCACATAGTTCAATAATGATCTTAATGTCTTTTCTTATTAAATTTGTTTTGTTGAATTAGGAAACTTTTTGTTTTTTAGCTGAAGTCAAGGATCAACCATTTTTCATTTAACTTTCTTTACTTATAGTTGGAGACGGTTCTGAAAAATGTATCGAAACTTATGAAAATATCACTGAAATCGTCGATGAATTTACCTGAAACTGATCTCTAATTCCCAAAATAAATGTACACGCAAATGGATCACATCAATAGTACTATCAGTCTAATTTTTAAAAAAATGTTATGACCCTGTCCAATTTTAAGACAAGGGTTCATTCTTTTTTCTTCTCTTTAAGCACTAAAAAGTGTAACAGTTTTTTTCAAAACGCTTAAGACAGAACCCTTTAAAAATATTGTTTGTTGTTGTTGTATGAGTAGCTTTATACAGCTCAAAGTGTTATAACCTAACAGGTTTTTACTTTTGTACCCTTATTTCAAGAATGGAGAAAAAAATAAAGTTTATTGTTACAGGATATGCCCTACCCAAGGGACAAGGCTGGATACACTTTGACCTGGGATCTGGGGAGAGAAGACAAGAAAAAAATTCAAAGCATTGCATGTGATGAGCTGCAAGTCCTCCTTAAAAGAGCGGAAGTTCCTTTCACGTTAGTTAAATCTTGGAAAAAAATTAAAGGTTTGAATTTCTATTTTTAACTTTCTAATAATTTTATTACATATAAATATCTAGCTTTTTCAATGATTTTAAATGTGGGTAGAAAAAGTTAGCCCCAGAAACACACAAAATATACACATAGTGAGACAGACAAAATGACAAACAAAGACTGCTCATAACACGGATAAAATAGAAAAAGAAAATTGATTATAAACAATTGAAAAACTGCTGGATAAACAATTTGCCTGCCCAAATAATGGGACTACCCAAAGAAAGGGACTACCCAAAGAATGTGACTACCCAGATAATGTGACTACCCAAACAATGTGACTACCCCGATAATGTGACTACCCAAAGAATGTGACTACCCAAACAATGTGACTACCCCGATAATGTGACTACCCAAAGAATGTGACTACCCAAACAATGTGACTACCCCGATAATGTGACTACCCAAAGAATGTGACTACCCAAACAATGTGACTACCCAAACTTTTTGACTACCCAAACAATGTGACTGCCAAAACAAAATAACTGCTCAAACAATGTCATGGCCTTCACAACATGACTGTCCTTGGTGTTTTGCTGTATTTTGTATGTTTGCTTGTTACTGCCCAAACAATGTGACTTCTGAAACAATGTGACGCCCAAACAATGTGACTTCTGAAACAATATGACTGCCCAAACAATGTGGCTGCCCAAAATATGATTGCAAAAACAATGTCATTGCCGAAACAATGTGACTGCTCAAACAATATGACTGCAAAAAAAGGTGATTACCCAAAAACAGCAACTCTCTGCCACTGTTTGTATTGTAGATAATGAACAACATATCTATAAAACTCCCATTGAGTCTCTCGTGGCAAGAGATGTCAAGTTTAAGCGGATGGATGACACACACCTACAAGTTCCAGCCGTCATCAAATGGGTATGACATTGTTGGGTTGTTGTGGTCTAGGTTGGATCTGTTAGCCGTCATCAAATGGGTATGACATTGTTGGGTTGTTGTGGTCTAGGTTGGATCTGTTAGCCGTCATCAAATGGGTATGACATTGTTGGGTTGTTGTGGTCTAGGTTGGATCTGTTAGCCGTCATCAAATGGGTATGACATTGTTGGGTTGTTGTGGTCTAGGTTGGATCTGTTAGCCGTCATCAAATGGGTATGACATTGTTGGGTTGTTGTGGTCTAGGTTGGATCTGTTAGCCGTCATCAAATGGGTATGACATTGTTGGGTTGTTGTGGTCTAGGTTGGATCTGTTAGCCGTCATCAAATGGGTATGACATTGTTGGGTTGTTGTGGTCTAGGTTGGATCTGTTAGCCGTCAAAGTTTACAATAAAACTACTACATCTGTACTTTAGCCATCACAATAGTACATCTGTACATAAGTCACCACAATCGTACGTCTGTACATTAGCCACCGCAATAGTATATGTGTACATTTGCCACCACAATAGTACATCTGTACATTAGCCACCACAAAAGTACATCTGTACATTAGCCACCGCAGTATATCTGTTGCCATTATTATAGTACATCTACATTAGCCATCACAATAGTACATCTGTACATTAGTCACCGCAGTATATCTGTTGCCATTATTATAGTGCATCTACATTAGCCATCACAATAGTACATCTGTACATTAGCCACCGCAGTATATCTGTTGCCATTATTATAGTACATCTACATTAGCCATCACAATAGTACATATGCACATTACCAATCATAATGGTACATCTGTACTTTAGCCATATCAATAGTACATGTCTACATAAGCCATCGCAATAGTACATATGTACAATAGCCAACACAATGTTGCTTTTGTACATAAGCCAACACAAATAGTGCACATTTTCTGCCTCGGCTTTGTGAGAAGTGCACTTTAAGCAAGATATAAAGAAAGGGCACATACATTTGTCTCTTTCTCCTTCGTAGCCATCTGAAAATTATCCACCCAACCCATGAAATCTAATCAAATACATTTCAGTCACAGGTTGTGTCAACACAAACAATTCGACTTCCTGTTACAACAAAATTTGAAATCTAGTCAGTGGCGTTGTTAGACTGTTTGGAGCCCTGGGATAAGAAACATTTGTATGCCCCCCCCCCCCCAATAAACTCTGAAACCCATTCTTTTCATTAATAAAATATCAAACATTTCCATTTCGGACACGTCTGGCAACCGGGACATCATTTGCTACGATACTACATCTAATATTAATAAAACTTGTCTTTTTCGTGTAGTTTATTTTATATGCTTTTTCATTAATGCCTCATCCGCCATTTCCCTTCTCAATCCCTCTAAAGATGGGACTCTACATACAAGAACACGGAAGAACTGAGGGAGAAGTCCTCAAGAAAAATTTCGGTTTTACTGCTATAAAGGTCAGTGTGAGATCAGAGTTAGTTTATAGCATCCACATAATATTACGGTTAATTAATGATGGTGGTTGGGCCGTGACTGCCTATGTTGCCTGCTGCTCTTCTAGAAAGACATTCTTCAAGGAAAAGTAACTTCATTCTTACATTGGTAGCACCCATCTCTTTCACTCGTAGTGTCATTGTTGAGCACTCATCTCTTTCAATTATATTGTATGCATGTATCACTGGTTTCTGTCACTTATATTGTCATCGTTTAACACTGATCTCCAACACTCAAATTGTCTTCTTTTGAATCTCCTACTCTCCTTGCTATATCCACATAGTGTAGTTTACAGGTCCTATGAAGAATTGCATTGGTCAATGAGCAAAGTGATTCAAACTTGATTTTCTCCTAAACTTGGTCAATTCCTAAACTTTAACATTTCCTAAATTTTGTCAATTCCTAAACTTAGTCAATTCTTACCTTGTTCAATTCCTGTTTTATGTTATTGATGATGCGGGTTGGGGGGGGGGGGTATTTTTACTAAATGAAAAAAAAAGACCCCTTTAAGTTATGTTTGAAGATACAAATTACAGTCGATTAAAACTAATGCAAGAGTAATGTTGTATGACTGCTGGGTAGACACGCTAATGTTGTATGACTGCTGGGTAGACACGCTAATGTGGTCTGACTGCTGGGTAGACACGCTTATGTTGTATGACTGCTGGGTAGACACGCTAATGTTGTATGACTGCTGGGTAGACACGCTAATGTTGTATGAGTGCTGGGTAGACACGCTAATGTGGTCTGACTGCTGGGTAGACACGCTAATGTTGTATGACTGCTGGGTAGACACACTAATGTTGTATGACTGCTGGGTAGACACGCTAATGTTGTATGACTGCTGGGTAGACACGCTAATGTGGTATGACTGCTGGGTAGACACGCTACTGTTGTATGACTGCTGGGTAGATCCGCTAATGTCGTCTGACTGCTGGGTAGACATGCTAATGTTGTATGACTGCTGGGTAGACACGCTAATGTTGTATGACTGCTGGGTAGACACGCTAATGTTGTATGACTGCTGGGTAGACACGCTAATGTTGTATGACTGCTGGGTAGACACGCTAATGTTGTATGACTGCTGGGTAGACACGCTAATGTTGTATGACTGTTGGGTAGGCACGCTAATGTTGTAATGACTGTTGGGTAGGCACGCTAATGTTGTATGACTGCTGGGTAGACACGCTAATGTTGTCTGACTGCTGGGTAGACACGCTAATGTTGTGTGACTGCTGGTTAGATAGACACGCTAATGTTGTCTGACTGCTGGGTAGACACGCTAATGTTGTGTGACTGCTGGTTAGACACGCTAATGTTGTGTGACTGCTGGGTAGGCACGCTAATGTTGTCTGACTGCTGGGTAGGCACGCTAATGTTGTCTGACTGCTGGGTAGGCACGCTAATGTTGTGTGACTGCTGGTTAGACACGCTAATGTTGTGTGACTGCTGGGTAGGCACGCTAATGTTGTCTGGCTGCTGGGTAGGCACGCTAATGTTGTCTGACTGCTGGGTAGGCACGCTAATGTTGTCTGACTGCTGGGTAGGCACGCTAATGTTGTCTGACTTCTGGGTAGACACGCTAATGGTGTCTGACTGCTGGGTAGATAGACACATGCCAACAGAAGTGATTCATGCTTGGTGCCAGTAAAATTTTCGGTTCCCATGCTCAGTTCAGTTTTTACTCTATCCAAAAATAGGTGAACTACAGCCTGAAAGGTCAAATCTATTTCATATTACGTTAATACTGAACTATTTCGAATCATCTTTCTTTTTTGTACAGCACACCATTACATCACAGACCTTACGATACACCTTTGTGGCACAAACCATTGTGGCACAAACCATTGTGGCACAAACCATTGTGGCACAAACCATTGTGGCACAAATCATTAATAAACTTTGATTACCGACCATGACATTTAAAAAAAAACATGATTTCCAACGATGCTTTGTGTCACGTGACTACCCTCCCTTTCTTTTCTTCCCCAGGATTTTATGGAATATTTAGAGGGACATTTTTACTTAGAACCAGAATCATTTACAATAAAAAATCGGAATTATACCGTTGGCACTGTCGGAAGTGCCTGGAAATTTCTCTTCCTTGAACTCCCTGTTCCGTTGATGTCTTCACCAAAAATTGAGTTCTTCCCCGAAATTTACGGTAAGTCGACACGCTTGGTGTGTTTTTGAGTTTGGTGTGTTTCTGGATTTGTGTGTTTATGTGTTTGGTGAAAGAACGACACATGTTCAAACTTGTTTTGAATTTCTTTCACCACTGAAAAAATCTTTTTGGTCTTTTAAAATTATTTAACATTGTAATTCAAATATGTCCGATAATCACTGAAGTCCAATAGAACATCTCAAGGTTATCAAAATATCAGTGGTAAAGGATGATGTATGGATGGGGTGATAGGAAAGTAAGATGGATGTGGTGTAGGGTGATAGGAAAGTAAGATGGATGTGGTGTAGGGTGATAGGAAAGTAAGATGGATGTGGTGTAGGGTGATAGGAAAGTAAGATGGATGTGGTATATATTCTACAGTACAGAAAATTAAACATGAAATGAGGACATATAGTCTCTGTGGCAGTGGCAAAGAAAGTTGATGGATGGGGCAGTGGCACAGAAAGTCGACCGATGGGGCAGTGGCACAGAAAGTCGACCGATGGGGCAGTGGCAAAGAAAGTCGACCGATGGGGCAGTGGCACAGAAAGTCGACCGATGGGGCAGTGGCACAGAAAGTCGACCGATGGGGCGGTGGCAAAGAAAATCGACCGATGGGGCAGTGGCACAGAAAGTCGACCGATGGGGCAGTGGCACAGAAAGTCGACCGATGGGGCAGTGGCACAGAAAGTAGACCGATGGGGCAGTGGCAAAGAAAGTCGAGCGATTGGGCAGTGGCACATAAAGTCGACCGATGGGGCGGTGGCACAGAAAGTCGACCGATGGGGCAAAAGCAGAGAAAATCGACCGATGGGGCAGTGGCAAAGAAAGTCGACGGAGGGGGTTTAGGGAAAGAAAATGAATTGGATTTGTTGCAAAGGTAGATGGATTGATAAGGCAACGACACATGAAGATGTATGGACTGGGCAGTGGTAAATGATAATGGATCGATGGGGCGCTAGTATAGGAAGATGAATTGATGGACAGTGAAAGAAAGATAGATGGATGGGATTGTCGTTGGCAGTCAAGTGGCAAAGAAAGATGTATGTGTGGGGCAGTGACAGGAGAAGATAGATGGATAGGACAGTGGTAAAAGAAGATGTATGGATGGAACGCTAGCAAAGGAAGATTGATGTGGCGTACACCTTACAATGTGGCAAATTGAATATTAAATTAGGATATATAGTCTCTTAGGCAGTGGCGAAGAAGGATGGATGGATGTGGCAGAGGCAAAAAAAAAGGTTGGTGGATGGGGTAGGACAGTAAGGAAGATGGATGGATGGGGCAGTCCACGCTGGCCAGCCTTTTTTTTTATTTAGGCCAACCGCAGAAGTTGTATTTTTGCTTCAAGGTGGCGGCAAGAATATTGGAAAAGGTGGGACTAACTGTAGTTACGCCACTGCTCTGTGATATAGGAAATGAATTAGAGCTTAAAAATGAAAGATAAACTTTATAATAAATTATTTCATCGTTTTCTTATTCACAGGGCTTCCTATTAAAGACCAGGTGGATATTTTAAATTTGTTTATTCTGACAATGAATCCAGCACATATCGATACTTTAGTAGTAAGTTGAAAATGATTACAGCACGTATCGATACTTAAGTATTAAGTTAACAATAAACACAGCACATATCGATAAAATAGTTTTAGTTGGCACACATCGAACCTTAAGTTGTAAGTCGACAATGAATACAGCACATATTGATACTTGAGTTGTAAGTTGATAATGGATGCAGCACATGTCGATACTTGAGTTGTAAGTTGAGAATGAATACAGCACATATCGAACCTTAAGTTGTAAGTTGACAATGGATACAGCAAATGTCGATACTTAAGTTGTCGGTTGAAAATGAATCCACCGCATATCTGTACATTAGTTTTAGGTTGACAATGGATCCAGCACATCTTAATTCATGAGATTTGATAATTGTAGTAAAGTCTGGATGTTCTAAGATATGATTTAACCTCACTTCTAATTGTGATATGAATTAGTCTTTGGGAAATATTTTGATTTCTGCATGATGTTAAATCGTGTAGGACATTTAAGTCACTGAAAATTCATGGTTATCTTCCAAATAATATCGTTTAGTTAAACCTGACTGCTCGCTACCCAGGAGGTTGGTTAGGTAAATAGTACATGGTGCTTGTTAAAAAGAAGATAGATGTTGGTAATTGTTGTCCAGCCCTTACTATCCAGTGTTAGACACGTTTTTGCACTAAATGTTAAGGAAAGAACAGTGATTGTTATTGTTTCTGAAATTTGAAGCATCTTAAGATTTTAATTTTTGTATTTCCCATAAATGTTAGCTAATTTCATTGATTAATTCTCCCAACATAAAATGCTTAATCAAATAACAATAACTTTGGTGTTGATTCTGAATTCTTTTACCACTCCTAAACAGTATGTCGTCACGATCTTGAATCATCTCACACAAATACCAGAGACAAAAATGACTGCGTCTGATTTCGGTCAAGTCTTTGGGCCGGTATTATTTAAAAAGCTGCCTTGGAATATGGACGCGCAAGAGAAAGAAACGAAACAAATCCAATTAAATTCTGCCACAAGGATGATGATTTACTACAGTCAGCGGATGTTTGTTGTAAGTCAGGCAATCATTGGTTTTTAAAAAAAAACTGAAAACTTTTATTTTCTTTTTCAATGTTGTCGTTTTAACAAAAAAAAAACAATACTATTTTGTTATGCTATAAAAGCTAAATGACTTTCTGGCAGTCTCCAATGTATTTATTTAAGAAACAATTCAGAAGAACGAGTTTATAAAAAAATAAATCAAATTAAATCAGGTTTTTACCACATGAATTTATTTTTTAGTTGACTTTGCAAGCTTACAAGCTATTGGCTTAAAATCCTTAACCTTATTATGAGGTCATAAACCACAAGACATAAGCACCATCTAGAAAAATTGCTTTGTGACATGTGCATGTACATACAATAAAGAGGTCATTTCAAAGATGTTAAAATGTTCCTATTATTAGTACTCTCTCTAACACAGCCGAGCCCACGTGTATTTTTGCTTCAGTTAGGAGGTTACATGTGTGCCGCTATCTGTAAAGTTAAAACATTATTTTTCATCAATGTAGTGCCCCTTTCCCATTGTTTCCCTGAGACAAGTTGTCTCATGCTTATTATAGTCCTGTTCTCTAAGGTCCTTCTTGTGTTAAACCAGTGGTTCTCAACCTTTCTAGTGCCGCGACCCCTTAATACAGTTTCTCGTGTCATGGCGACCCCCAGCCACACAATTATTTTCGTTGGTACTTCATAGCTGTAAGGATATATGTTTTCAGATGGTCTTAGGCGACCCCTGGAAAAGGGTCCCGTGACCCCCAAAGGGGTCACGACCCACAGGTTGAGTACCGCTGTGTTAAACTCTCTCGACCACAGCAACATTGGTCCCAGTAATTCCACTGATTTTCAAATGTATTTCTGGCAATACATAATCCCAAAATCCTTCACCCTCTCTTGGCCAGGTACCACCTAACATTCTAACCAAACTAAGAGAAAATTATGATCAAGAAAATAAGTCGAAGAGTAAGTCAGTAAGTATTTTTATTTAGTCAAGTGCATTTTATAATAAATATTTTCCTTTATATTTTTAGGGAATACATTTTTTTAAATTGTTTACTCGTCCAAGAAGACAACAACCATGCATATCTCATCCATTAGTGTTCCTCATAAATTAAACATCTGCTCGTGATAGAAAAAGAAATGAGTAGCATAACCTAGGGGGGGGGGGGAAAGCTGAAAAATGGCAGAAGAAAACAAACGGACTTATTGCCAGAAAGCCTTCGTCAGCGAGCAGAAACAAGTAACAAAATAAAATAAGCTAAAATTATTTATCTGATGCTGTAGAGCAGCAGCTGTCAGCCCAGAAGCTTGGAAACAAGTAACAAAATAAAATAAGCTAAAATTATTTATCTGATGCTGTAGAGCAGCAGCTGTCAGCCCAGAAGCTTGGAAACAAGTAACAAAATAAAATAAGCTAAAATTATTTATCTGATGCTGTAGAGCAGCAGCTGTCAGCCCAGAAGCTTGGAAACAAGTAACAAAATAAAATAAGCTAAAATTATTTATCTGATGCTGTAGAGCAGCAGCTGTCAACCCAAAAGCTTGGAAACAAGTAACAAAATAAAATAAGCTAAAATTATTTATCTGATGCTGTAGAGCAGCAGCTGTCAACCCAAAAGCTTGGAAACAAGTAACAAAATAAAATAAGCTAAAATTATTTATCTGATGCTGTAGAGCAGCAGCTGTCAGCCCAAAAGCTTGGAAACAAGTAACAAAATAAAATAAGCTAAAATTATTTATCTGATGCTGTAGAGCAGCAGCTGTCAACCCAAAAGCTTGGAAACAAGTAACAAAATAAAATAAGCTAAAATTATTTATCTGATGCTGTAGAGCAGCAGCTGTCAACCCAAAAGCTTGGAAACAAGTAACAAAATAAAATAAGCTAAAATTATTTATCTGATGCTGTAGAGCAGCAGCTGTCAACCCAAAAGCTTTGAAAGGCAACTTTCATAGTGAATAAACCATATGGGGGGCCGCATGTCCTTACCCCTGATATTAAATTATTTCAATAAATTACCACCTAACTCTGCATAGAATTTTTTATCCATGCTTAGAGCACATAAAGAAATGCTAAATAACATAACTAAATACAATTATGTGGTTTCATTTGTTATGTCATCTAACTCAGTGTTTCCCAAACTGTTAAGTTTCACGGAGTGGTGGACACGTTTCGAAACTGCATCAGGGACCGGTGCCAGATTTATTAATTACATTTTCTTTCTATTTAAACATCAATATTCATGCTCTCTGAACCGGTCACGTAAGGCTTGCGGACCGGTGCCGGTCCACGGACCACCGTTTGGGGAACACTGATCTAACTTATCTTTTTAAAATCGACTATTTAGTCAATTAAATGACATATCATGAATATAATTATTTGTGATAAGACAGTCATCAGCGGGCAAAACTATCTGAAATAGCGGGCCACATGATGGACTTCCCTCTTGTAGAGAGTTTTTCACTTTTGTAGAATAGATTGCAATGTTTCTATAGTTGACATATGTGTTGAACACATTCCAATGTCTATAGCTAGCAATTCTGTATAGAATGATTGAATATTTATCACTGCTAAGATCTAACTATTTCTATACATGGTTTTATTTAAAGATATTTCCCTGGTCAAAAAAGAAGGAACAGGAAGAGGAACCAGTAGCTAAACCTGAGGTAGGTAAACTTGATCATTGGCAACTATATCAACTTTGATACATCAAGCAATAACAACTTTAATACATCAAGCAATAATAAATTTGATACATCAACAAAAACATCAAATAAGGTTTTTATTTTTGAATATCTTAACACTCTCATATTTAGTTGATTTTCTTAGATAAGGAATCCAGGTGCACCTACTGTAATAATAGACACAAGCTTGGGTGTGCACATGCATTTCACATGAAGTAATAGTAGAAATAGTAGTAGTAGTAGTTTGAGCAGTAGTAGTAATAGAAATAGTAGTAGTAGTAGTCATGCTTGGTGCCCGAGCGGTCTACACTAATTCTATCCTAAGCTTGTGGACTGGTGTTAAATCCCGTGAGATAGGTTAGACAAGCAAAGTCCCTGTAGAAATGATTTTGTCTCAGTATGCCAAGAAAAGTATGCTCTCATACTGTTTGGAATGTTCTAGAATCTTCTTTCACAATTATTAACCCGAACTTTAAACAATAAAACACAAACACACATATAAAGTCTCTGAGCAACAAAACACACACACCATATCCTGAAATTTGATCGAAAGAAATTTCGTTGATGTTAAATTGATTGACAGAAATTTGATAGAGCGGAAATTTGGTCGAATCTTTTTTTCAGTTCACACGTTAAAATTTAGCTTCAAATTTCTTTTTGAACGCATTATTTTCTTTTACTACATAGTATAGTGTGTTCAAAACGAAATTTGACGAAAATTTTAATTCGTTAACTGAAAAAAAAAAAAGATTTGACCAAATTTCTGTTCTATCAAATTTCGGTCGATCAATTTTCCGCCGACGAAATTTGATTCGATTAAATTTCCGGTAACCCACACACACACTTATGAAGTTTCTGAATAACAAAACCACACACACTTGTGAAGGCTCTAAGCAATTAAGCACACGCACGCACACTTGTGAAGTATTACACCATGGTTTATTGAAACGATTTACAGAATGGTTCATTGAAACGATTTACAGGATGGTTAATTAAAACATTTACCGAATGGTTTATTGAAACTATTCACAAGATGGCTTATTGAAACTATATATAAGATGTTTTTTAAAATTGTTACAAGTCCGAATTTGTTCTAGGGTCGACCAAAGAACCTAGACATTCAGGTCTTTGATGTGGCAGCCAGTAAAACAGAGACTATCACCATTGATGGTAGTACAACAGTAGGAGATGTGCTGTCAATATATCATGGCAGAAGACCGTAAGTTATTTGTGTTAGTTAAAATATTGGCCAACTTTTCATTGCTTACTTAGAAACTATGATCATGTTATACTAAATAAAACACATTGTGACGTTTAAAACGATTTGTCGATAATTTTGTGTGCTTCATTTTAATATTAAACATGGACAGCATTCACAAACCTCTCTCCTATCTGGAACATGGCCAGCATTTACACATCTATCTCCTATCGGGAACATGGCCAGTATTCACATATCTATCTCCTATCTTGAACAGGACCAGCATTCACAATAGTGGAACATAGGAGACAATATAGTTAAACAGTTTAGAACAGTCGTAGATAGCTGACAGTTAGTAAACACTATAGAATAACTTTTTATTTGAGTAATAAATATATTTTATTTCATCATTGAACACCTGGAGTTTAAGTTGTTGGATTTCGTTCCAGTCTACGTTGTGCTTTTGTCTGTCTCAACGTTGTGCTTTTGTCTGTCTCAACGTTGTGCTTTTGTCTGTCTCAACGTTGTGCTTTTGTCTGTCTCAACGTTGTGCTTTTGTCTGTCTCAACGTTGTGCTTTTGTCTGTCTCAACGTTGTGCTTTTGTCTGTCTCAACGTTGTGCTTTTTTCTGTATCTACGTTGTGCTTTTGTCTGTCCCAACGCTTAGATACCCACAGTATAAATCACAGAGAGGAGCGGTCCTGTACTGACCACTACCAAGTCAACACAGTTTGTGATAAGTCTGGACTGGAGCCCTCCTCCGTAACAACCGTTCTGTACCAAACATGGCCAGCATTCACACATCTCTCTCCTATCTGGAACATGGCCAGCATTCACACATCTCTCTCCTATCTGGAACATGGCCAGCATTCACACATCTCTCTCCTATCTGGAACATGGCCAGCATTCACACATCTCTCTCCTATCTGGAACATGGCCAGCATTCACACATCTCTCTCCTAACTGGCATTTTATATGATGATGGGTTTTAGAGCACAATCAAACAATTTTAATAATGTGACATTAGGTTAGGTGTACCCTACAATTTGAATGGCTGGATGTTTGAAATGAGATTTGTTGAGACATGCCAAGACTCTGCTCATTAGAGACACACATTTTTATACAAACAAATAGCGATGTCAATGTTATAACCTCCAGGGGTAAGCCGTACTATTTGGAAGAACTCAAAAGACATTTGCAACGCAATCGTACGTACGTCAGACTTGAAGATGATGGAGGTGCTGGTGCCCAGGCTATGGACAGAACATTTAGTTTGTTGCATGAAGTAGGCGGAAACATAGGTACGAAATGCTTTTCTGTAAATTGGAAATATAAATATTTTGTAAAATATGCTGTATTTTGTGTTATTTTAAATTTTATATTTTCTTTGATTTCTTTGGAAATAAGATAGAAATGGTAATTTTATTACTATTTTGTCTATTCCTTCCATTTTTGATGATACAACAAAAATTATTTACACATCTGTTTTTTTTTATTATTTCCTTTTATATTTAAATAAATGGCAATTCTAGTCGCCATTTCGAACAGCTCTATATTTATTTTTTGTCTGAAATTGCTTGTGCTATTTTCATCCATATTTTTTTGTTTCTTTTTATATTTTTAAATTATTAAATCCTAATTCAAAATGTATATATTTTAAGCTGTATATATTCCAACATGTGTCAGAAAAACGGAAATTTCTTAAATTAACCAGCCGCCATTTTAAAAGAAATCCGGTGACTAGATGTTGTACAGGCATGACGTATTTTTTTTATAGGTTTTTTAAGCTGTAGATAGTGTTATGAATAATTTTTAAAGAATAATATATTAAACTGTGGCTGAAGCATATATACTTGCCAAATCTTTGAATGCTGGTTTTTTTCTCTCTCCGTGTCTTTGTCCCGTACTAGTTGCTTTTCTTCTAGAAGTCTCCTGTCTGTGGTTTCTCTGCAAATAAGACTTTATCCCAATATTTATAGTGTTAGGAGAAATTTGATAGATTTAGGGGAAAATCCTTGGTAAAGTCAATCATATCCGACAGTTGATTTTAAACTCTCCACAATTATATTTAAAAAATATTTAATGTTTGAATACATGACAATGAAGTGCAATTTGTAATTTAAATGTATACAGAATTTTCTTTTTTTCTTTTTAGTGATGCTGATTTTCAGACATATATTTAATCCACAAACAAAAATCTTTGTCATTAATGAAAAATTGTGTTTTTATAAAACGCAAAAGTTTAAAAATAAATCTGGCATCTTTTAAGAGTTAATCGAATTCTTTACCCATTTTGGCCACAACTTTTCAAGAACTATTGGCTAAAAGGATGGTTATCAAATGAAATAAGAATTGAACAATTTTGAACATCACTATAGAGTCAAATTTTTCTGTGATGACTTAGAGCAGTAAAATTATGTGGCTCTTATTTATTTTGTGTGTTTTTTTGTTTGTTTGTTTGTTTGTTGTTTTTTTTTTGGGGGGGGGGGACGACAAAATATCTGATAAAAGTTTTTACTTGTTTGACGGCCTCAAATATAGCCGCGTTTTTTTTTAACCTTTTATAAGAGATGGAACATTATTTTAAAAAATGAGTTGATCGAGTTATTAAGAAAAATTATTGAATGGAAAATATTTTTTGTTTTACTATAGAGTCAAATTTTTCTGTGATGACTTAGAGCAGTAAAATTATGTGGCTCTTATTTATTTTGTGTGTTTTTTTGTTTGTTTGTTTGTTTGTTGTTTTTTTTTTTGGGGGGGGGGGACGACAAAATATCTGATAAAAGTTTTTACTTGTTTGACGGCCTCAAATATAGCCGCGTTTTTTTTTAACCTATTATAAGAGATGGAACATTATTATAAAAAATGAGTTGATCGAGTTATTAAGAAAAATTATTGAATGGAACATATTTTATGTTTGTAATAAATGAAATACTATCTGTTACAGGACAGAGATTACTTGGCTTTGAGGTTAACATCATGGACATGTTGGAGATTAATCCCAATGCCAAGTTTGAGATAAGACCGAACAAACAAGTCTTTGTTTAACAAGTCCTGTCAGATCTGTGTGCAACAAACAAATGTTTATGTTGCAAGTCCTCTCAGATCTTTGTGTCTGGATGGAAACAAAGTATTATTTAGATATATTGAAATAATTACTTTTTATTTTAATTTCTTAAATTTAATTATTAGTTTGAATTTTTTATAAATTATGTTAAATTATACTTAATCAAATAAAAACATCTTAAATTTACACACAATTTCTTTGTATGATAAGTTCTGTAGGCTGTTTGAAAGCCATGAATATCAGAAGTAACTGTCAACAAAAGCCGATTTTGAATACGAAAATAAGCGCTGGACTAAACTAATCTGGTTTGAATTCCTTTTGAAATATTTGATTGACAAAACTAATCAATGTATGTGCTCCTTGTCTTTGATAATGATATTTTTAATAACTAATTAAAATCTAATCTGGGCCAGAAATTTTAATATAATATACATGTATTTATAATTCATTTATTTTTATATTTGTGGTATATCATTCAAAATGTTATATGGAGTCATGTGATGAAAACCGTCGTTGAGCTCACTATGGTCTTAATTTGATCTGTATTCAATCGCTCTATGTTCTGTACTTTTGTTGTTGAGGATTAACACTCAGGATTTATACCCTACAAAAGAATAGCAACCTTGCTTGGCTGGTGAGACAATTCCACTCTGAGTCAGGGCCCCCCTCCCCCTAGAGTGGTTAAACTAGGCATGTCTGTGACAATTGCTGAGTCCAAAAGGGCCCCCCTCCCCCTAGAGTGGTTAAACTAGGTATGTCTGTGACAATTGCTGAGTCCAAAAGGGCCCCCCTCCCCCTAGAGTGGTTAAACTAGGCATGTATGTAACAATTGCTGAGTCCAAAAGGGCCCCCCTCCCCCTAGAGTGGTTAAACTAGG